TTCACAGCCTTTGCTCAATACTTTGTTGAAGCACCTTTGGCACCAATTACAGCCTCAAGTCTTTTTGAGTACGATGCTAGAAGCTTTGGCATACCCATTTTTGGGCAGTTTCTCCCATTCATCTTTGCAGAACTTCAAGCTCCATCAGGTTGGATGGGGAGCACAGCCATTCTCAGATCTCTCCAGAGATGTTCAATCGGGTTCAAGTCTGGGCTCTGGCTGGGCCACTCCTTTGTTATCTTGGCTGTGTGCTTAGTAGGGGTGTAACGGTTCACAAAATTCACGGTTCGATACGATACACTTGTGTCACGGTTCGGTACGTTTTCGATACAGCAAAAAGAAAGAAATGCCAGAGAAATTTCCTTGATTTAATTTTTTTTATTATATTTTTATTAAAACTAACATCATAAAGTATGATATTTTTTTTACTTTGAGCAATGATGGAGCTCTACTTGACTTTTCTTAGGAGCATATAAAACAGAACAGCTCCTTGGACAAAATGAAATGCAATATTGTCAGGGCTCTCAAGTGTCACGCATTGAGCGTGACAGTCACTCATTTCGGTCTTTTGTCACGCTCTCCCGCCACACATTGTATTTCTCACGCTGAAAAACTGTTTGTTATATATTTAATATGCCGCAGTGCCCAAAACTCTGGTCGCGCCACTCTCACTGGGGAACCGGCAGGAATCAAGAGCGTCTCCTCTGGTGTTGTTCGTCGAGCTACACAGTAGCCGATCAGAAAATAGCACTATTGTATCTGGGTAAGATTTAACGCAACAACCAATGAAATAAATTGGACCCCCCATTGTAGCCTACTATTCCTGCCAAACAGTTAGTTACTACAGTAAATCCATGGTGAATGTTGCTGATCTGTGGACACTGAATAGTTCATTCATGGCACAATGTTTCTTCCTGGTTTCCACGTCAGCGCTGTTTGATCCGTTAATAACGGAGAAATGCGAATGTTTCTCACTACATCTCGCAGCGATGTTATTACTTCAGTGGCAAATTCAAATGTTTTCTTTACTGGATTTGGCTGTGTAGTGCTGCTTGATTAAGATCGGCTCGCGCTGCATTGGTCCAAACTGCATCGTCAACAACAAAATAACGAGTAGATCAGTTTCGTTCCGCTTACATTACATTTGCCATTTGATGTTGGGCAATGTTGTGGTCACGCCAGCGTCTCTTACATTATGAGCGCGTTTGCGACGCGCCTACATTTGAAATAACGAAATTTTGGTCGGCAGGAAAAATGGTCCAACGAACCGTTCGGTTTAAAAATGCGTACCGAAAACCGAACCGAAAGCCTCGTACCGAACGGTTCAATACGAATACGCGTATCGTTACACCCCTAGTGCTTAGTGTCGTTGTCCTGTTGGAAGATGAACCGTCGCCCCAGTCTAAGGTCCAAACCTGCTCCAGAGCGAATTTCATCAAGGATGTCTCTGTACATTGCTGCATTGTTCTCTCCCTCGATCCTGTCTCCCACTTCCTGCCGCTGAAAAACATCCCCACAGCATGATGCTGCCACCACCATGCTTCACTGTAGGGATGGTATTGGTCAGTTGATGATCAGTGCATGGTTTCCTCCATACATGACGCTTGCCATTCAGGCCAAAGAGTTCAATCTTTGTTTCATCAGACCAGAGAATTTTGTTTATCATGGTCTGAGAATCCTTCAGGTGCCTTTTGTCAAACTCCAAGCGGGCTGTCATGTGCCTTTTACTGAGGAGTGGCTTCCGTCTGGCCACTCTACCATACAGGCCTGATTGGGGGAGTGCTGCAGAGATGATTGTTCTTCTGGAAGGTTCTCCTCTCTCCACAGAGAATTGCTGGAGCTCTATCAGAGTGACCATCGGGTTCTTGGTCACCACCCTGACTAAGGCCCTTCTCCCCCAATTGCTCAGGGGTGCGTTTCCCAAAGCCAACTATGGTCGCAAGTTCCGTCGTTACCAATAGAGTTCAATGGAAATTGTGATCATAGTTGGCCAACTATGCTTTTGGGAAACGCACCCCAGTTTGGCCGGACGGCCAGCTCTAGGAAGAGTCCTGGTGGTTCCAAACTTCAAGCGGGCTGTATTGAGGGGAGGATGGATGGGGCCATGTATCAAGAGATCTTGGCCAACAACCTCCTTCCCTCAGTAAGAGCATTGAAGATAGGTTGTGGCTGGGTCTTCCAGCATGACAACAACCCGAAACACACAGGCAGGGCAACTAAGGAGTGGCTCCGTAAGAAGCATCTCAAGTTCCTGGAGTGGCCTTGCCAGTCTCCAGACCTGAACCCAATAGAAAATCTTTGGAGGGAGCTGAAAGTCCATATTGCCCAGCGACAGCCCCGAAACCTGAAGGATCTGGAGCTCTGTATGGAGGAGTGGGCCAAAATCCCTGCTGCAGTGTGTGCAAACCTGGTCAAGAACTACAGGAAACGTATGATCTCTGTAATTGCAAACAAAGGTTTCTGTACCAAATATTAAGGTCTGCTTTTCTGATGTATCAAATACTTATGTCATGCAATAAAATGCAAATGAATTACTTAAAAATCATACAATGTGATTTTCTGGATTTTTGTTTTAGATTCCGACACTCACAATTGAAGAGTACCTATGATAAAAATTACAGACTTCTACATGCTTTGTAAGTGGGAAAACCTGCAAAATCAGCAGTGTATCAAATACTTGTTCTCCCCACTGTATATATAAATTCACTATTATTGCCAAAAGGTTTGGGACGTCTGCCTTTACATGCACATAAACATATTAATCCGTAGGGTTTAATATGGGGTTGGCTCACCTTTTGCAGCTATAATAGCTTCAACTCTTCTGGGAAGGCTTTACTCAAGGTTTAGGAGAGTGTTTATGGGAATTTTTGACCATTCTTCTTGAAGCGCATTTGTGAGGTCAGGCACTGATGTTGGACAAGAAGGTCTGGCTCGCAGTTTCCGCTCTAATTCATCCCAAAGGTGTTCTATTGGGTTGAGGTCAGGACTCTGTGCAGCCCAGTCAAGTTCCTCCACACCAAACTCACTCATCCATGTCTTTATGGACCTTGCTTTGTGCACTGGTGCGCAGTCATGTTGGAACAGGAAGCGGTCATCCTCCCCCCACAAAGTTGGGAGCCAAACTTTACACTTGGCACAATGTAGTCAGGCAAGTACCGTTCTCCTGGAAACCGCCAAACCCAGACTTGTCCATCGGATTGCCAGACAGAGAAGCGTGATTCGTCACTCCAGAGAACACGTCTCTACTGCTCTAGAGTCCGGTGGTGGAGTGCTTTACACCACTGCATCCAACTCTTTGCATTGCACTTGGTGATGTAAGGCTTGGATGCAGCTGCTCGGCCATGGAAACCCATTCCATGAAGCTCTCTACGCACTGTTGTTAAACTAATCTGAAGGCCACACGAAGTTTGGAGGTCTGTAGCTATTGACTCTGCAGAAAGTTGGTGACTTCTGCGCACTTTGCACCTCAGCATCGCTTGACCCCGCTCTGTGATTTTACGTGGCCTACCACTCCGTGGCTGAGTTGCTGTGGTTCCCAATTGCTTCCACTTTGTTATAATACCACTAACAGTTGACCGTGGAATATTTACTATCAAGGTGCCACGCTTGAATTCACTGAGCTTCTGAGAGCGACCAATTCTTTCACAAATGTTTGTAGAAGCAGTCTGCATGACTAGGTGCTTGATTTTATACAACTGTGGCCATGAAAGTGATTGGAACACCGGATTTGGAGGGGTGTCCCAATACTTGTACAGTATGTATGTGTATGTGTGTCTGTGTGTGTGTGTTTGTATTATGTATTACTGTATTCTTTTACTGTCAAATTTCCTGCGACACCCAGTTTGAAAAACCCTGCACTAGCATATCTCAAATATATAAATATAATATTTAAAGCTACAAAGCTCTAATTTTGATACCATGCAGTTTAATTTCATTCTTGTGCAAACCATTGGCCCAAAATATAACAAGCACCCAGGGTATAATACAGATTCTGTTATTCACATTGTACAATCCTTGCCTCTAGTTTCCTCCTAAACCAAATCCTGCAGTTAATTTAAAAGGCTTAATTGCTTCAATTGTTTCTGAAAGCTAAATCTGTCAGTTTCTTCAGAAATATTCCAGTCCAAACCTCTATTTTCTGGGTGTGTGCATTTCTAAAATGTGCCTGTCCCTTTAAATCAGAAGCAGCTATGCTACAGTGACACGTGTGTGTCCTTTCCTCTGCTCTCACTCAGCTGTTTGAAATGATGACAGATGCCTTATAGACACACAGTCAAGATATCTCCCATTGAACCTTCAGGTTTCCCTTTTGACCTTTGTAATGACACAATCCACCTCTCAAGTTAATCTGGCCAGTATCTTTCTCAGTGCACATGTAACATACATACATCTTCCTTTCTGAATGTCCTCACAGTCACACAGACACACACACACACACACATTGTGTGGCATCTGCCCAACACTACTGCTGAGACTGTGACCTCCAATGCCTCAGCATCCCTGTGGTTGTGTTCTAAACCAATCTGTTCTCTTTTCCTTACTGTCCCCTAACACACACACACCCACACCCACACCCTCCTGCCCCCGCGGTGCAGCTAAACGTCCCTAGTGACACTGAAAAATGTCGCCTCTTTTTCTTTCCTTTCCTTCACACCTGTCACTCCCTTTCTCTTTTTCCTTGTCCTTTACGAGGTGTGTTTCTCCTACAGTATTTCTATCTCCCTTTGTAGCCAACATTCCATCCTTATGCCTCGTCTTTTCCTTTCTCTCTCTCTCCTCCGTCTCTGCCACCCCCCTTTGCCTTCATCATCTACCACCCCCTCCCTTTTTCCCCTGTCTCTCTCTCGTTCTCACTGCCTCTCCCTCTTTCTTGTTCTCACTCCCTCCCTCACTCTGAGGCACTGCAGTAAAGTGTGTTGATAGGATTGAGGTGGTTTTCTCTGCGCTGAGAGAGAGAGAGAGAGAGAGAGAGAGAGAGAGAGAGAGAGAGAGAGAGAGACTGCAGCATGCTGCATTGCAATCACACTAGAACACATGAGAATCTTCCCACAAAAGCACACGTGTGTATCCATTCAGCCATCGGATCCTCCGCAGCACGATATTTGTGAGTGCGTGAGCTCATTCAAAGAGGGTAACTTGTGTCTTTACGTGTCTAAATCTGCTATCCGCCATCCCCCCCCCCCCCCCCCCCAACATACACGCACATCGGCAACTCCTCCCACTCCTCCGACGAACCCCCATCCACCCAGGTCGACAGCAGGACGGCGTAGCGATTCTGGACGCAGCGCTGAAACCAGAGCTTCGCCCTGACGCGGACGTATACAGGCAGGCAAAGACGCGGCATTTGGTCCTTGTCTCGCCTGAGGGATTATCATGCAGTGTTTTTTTTGCCGGAAACTGCTGGAGTCATTGCCGCTGAAGATTCTCTAGGAGACTGAACGCTTTTGGTGGGTGTCTGTCCTGCGTGTGCGTGCGTACCGGTTGTTTTTTTCTGAGCCTTGGACTGACGCACGGATACTGCAGCAGAACTGCAGGGGCCTGGACGCTAACCTGGAGGACATGAAGACCCAGTGGATCCCCCACCCCTGAGCACCAGAACCCACTGCTGCTGCACATTCTGCTGAGGTGCTGCTCTCTCCTCTGCTCTGGAGATTTTTGGGAAGTGTGTGTGTTGTGGTGGAGGGGAAGAGGTTTTTCGTGGTGCTGCAATGTTGCATTGCTATTGAATATATGGGGCCTAGTGCTGTGTGTGTGTAAATGATGGCTAAAAGATTGTGACAGAGTGTGTCTGTGTCGTAGCTGTCTGCTGACTGCTCTGTGCATGTGTGTATGGTATAGCTGAGCAGAGCTCCCAGAGGCCGATAGGATGCTGACAGCTCGCGATGGAGCTCGAGATGAAGCTCAGAAGCTGCACAGGAAATGGATGAAGCACCAGGCCTTCATGGCTGAACTGGCCCGCAACAAAGAATGGCTTGCCAAGATTGAACAGGTGAGTCACAAGGGCTGAAATGAAAGAAATGTGATGGGGAGAGAGCATGAATTAAAAAAAAACATTTCAGGTAGATGCTACTTACACAAGGTGCTTTTCAGGTAACTCCATGGGCTCCAATACTTTTCAACACATTAGCTAGTTTATACATGACCACAGTTTCTTTGTAAATTTATATAAATATATAAGAATAAAAATATAAGGACATGCATACACTACCATTCAAAGGTTTAGGGTCAGTAAGGTTTAAACAAAGAAAAAATAAATTAAAACTTTTATACAGCAAGGATGCATTAAATTGATCAAAAGTAGCAGACACAAAATATTTCTTTTCAAATAAATTCTGTTCTTTTAAACTTTCTATTCATCAAAGATTTGTTTTTAAAATGTATCACGGTTTCCACAAAAATATCAAGCAGAACTCAATATCAACTGTTTTCAACACTGACAAAAAAAATAAAATAATAGAATTGTTTATCATGCACCAAATCAGCTTGTTAGAATGATTTCTGAAGGATCATGTGACACTGAAAACTGGAGTAATTTCTGCTGAAAATTCAGCTTTGCCATCACAGGAATAAATTATATTTTAAAATATATTAAAACAGAAAATAGATATTTTAAGTTGTAATACTATTTCACAATATTCGTTTTTACTATATTTTTGATCAAATAAATGCAGACTTGATGAGCATAAGAAAATTGGATTACAATATTTAGATAATAAATATAAATGCTTGTCAGACCTTACCTTTACTCTGGGATGTATGGAAATAAATACAGAGCCAAGAGGGATTGTGGGTAAAAAGCAGATTGCATAAGAAGTATGACAGTAAAAATAAGACTCAGTTGTGTTAGGGATGAGTGAAGATTTATTAAGGATAGATTCAGGATTTGCTAAGATTGGGTTAAGGACAGATTGAGGATCTGTTAAGGACATATTCAGGAATGGTTGAGAATAAATTGAGGAAAGATTCAGTATTGTTTGTGGATAGGTCGAGGACAGATTTAACATTGGTTGTGGATTAGTTGAGGGCATTTGGTCCTGATTGAGGATGTATTGAGAAAATATGATTTGATTCAAGATGAGCTGAATACAGCACAATTTCTTGAAGGGCATTTTCTCACCTTTATTATAGAAAATGTCTTGATCTTAAAATTTCTTTAAAAAATCCATATTTCATACTGTAAATTCTAATGTTGTGATGCTTCTTACATTCACTTAAGCATTTGACATTGAAACCGACTGTTCATTTTAGCTTTTAGGGTCAAGCTCAAGCTGATATTCTAAAAAAAAAAAAAAAAAAACCTTAGTGGTGTAAACGAGAAGAAACATTGGTGGTGATAATGATCATGGAATGCTTGATAGTGGAAATGAAGAGCAGTAGTGGATAGACAAGGCCGGTGGAAAAGAAGGATCCTCTGCTGTCCTTAATATCATGATGCAAACACGCTGTCTTTACATCTACATGTATATTCACATCTTATTTTTAATATCAGTTGCCATTAAATGCTGTATAGCATGTTAAATTACATGCAGCTCTGTTTCAGTTAGTCTGTGGGGCTTTATGATGCCCTGCAATACAATATTTTATCCCAGATGACCTGTTCTTATCTGGTACATGCTGTCCTGAAAGATTGCTTATCATGACCTGATACACAACAGTACATCCTGGTGCATCTGATGTGTCATGGTTGGGTTTTAAATGGCACTGTGAAGTGTCTAAAACCACACGGCATCTTGTGGGATGGCGGGGACTTTAATATGATTAGTATGTAAATCAGTCTAATGGTATAATGGGTATTAGTAAGATATCTCCTAGTATTGCTGATCACAGAAAAGGAACCATGTGACATGGTGCATCGTGTGTTGCTGTATGACTGCATAGATGCTGCTACTGCTACTTCTTTTTTCATGCTGACAGTGGGTGAAAAACTGATGTACAGGCATGAGCTGAATGTTTCCCAAATGATAAATTGTCTCAAAAAATTTATAAAACCAAGAGTTACCAAAATATGAATCCATTAAATGCTGATATTTTTAGGTCCATGGTTTTGCGTGTGTGTGTGTGTTTGTTTTTGTGGTAGATGTACATGCTGTGTGGACAAAGATGCAAGCATGTAGTGTTGGTCAAAACAAAGTTGGCCAGAAGATCTAAACATAAGTGAAGAAGCTTTGCTACAAAGGTTTTTCTGTCTTGATTGAATTGTGTGTTTGTATGTGGTAAACAATCCAACTATGCCCAGAAATTTCAGATGCGTTTTGCTGCATAGATGATTTGATGAATAATAACTCAAATGCCTTGTTGATTCTTCACCGTGTGCTTGTGGTGGATTTGTGTCACATGTTTGAATTACAGTACTCTGAATTGTTTATTAAATGTTGTGGGCCTGCTATATTTCTGTTTTGGCCTTGTTTTCTCTTCTCATATTTCTTTCCATCTATTACTATTGAAGTTTGCTGCTATTTACAGTTCACCAAGGAATAGATGATGTAAGATGCTAAACTCTGTAGCCTTTAGGCTGACTGTACTTTGTAATAATTAAGCTAATCTTTATTCAAGCTGATTTTAAATGTCACTTGTGTTTATTTTCTGATACTTCTGTGTCAGAGCTTGCCTAGAGGAGCAGTCCTTTTACAGGAATTATTAAAGTCAACAATCAGTTTTCAGGCAGCAATCAGATTGGTTTATGCCCTTACAAATCTTTTCATGTGGCAAGAAAAACTTGTTCTGTTAATAGATATATTTTTTAATGTATGAGACATATGACTGGGAAATATAGCCCAAAATTTGACATCTAATATGACAATATATAAAATATATTGATGATGATAAATTTTTATATGAATATATTAAAATATTCAACGCAATTAATGCAGCATCCGGTTTTTTTTCTGTCATCCTTTGACTGCGCTACAGTAGGCTACATGATCACATTATCTTTCATTCAAATTCTATCAAACCTGTGAAGCGGCTTTCTATGAACAAACAAAACACGCACACTGAATGCCGCTTCAGACAGCGTGCCTGTGCCACTTTGAGTTCTCTATCGCGCTCGAACGGACAAAAACACACAAAGTTATGTCAAAATTCCTGTTTGTCGAGTATCGGTCTTAAATGAGTAGAAAACCCCTCATATATATATATTAAAGGCACAGCTAAATGTGACATTTATTACAATTGGTGTACAATTTATGTGAAGACTGTTTTAAGCTCACTTACAAAAGTTTTTTTATTATAGTAAATTTATAGTATTTTTAAAAGCCTATTTATTGTTAAAATGTAGTTTTCAGTTATACTGTAATGTTGAATGGCTTTAATTAATGGCTAAAATTAAGGAAAAAAAGAAGACATCAGTATCAGTACTTGGAGATTCAATGTGAAAGGAATACAATAGAAAAATATATTAAAAACTTTAATGTTAGGTGTGATTAATCGCGATTAATTACAGAAAAATATGCGATTAATTAGTTATTTTTTAACCGATTAACAGCACTACTCTATAACCTTATAAAACACAAATATAATATTACATATAATAAATATTACATGTTAATATTTGTTTTAAAAAAATTACTGCAACTTTCTAATCCAATACAATCAGACTTAAAGGGAGAGTTCACCCATGATTTACTCATCCTCAAGCCATCCTAGGTGTATATGATTATCTTCTTTCAGACAAACACAATCGGAGTTATATTAAAAAAATATCCTGGCTCGTCGAAGCTTTATAATGGTAGTAAATGGCAGTCCTGATTTTGAAGTCCAAAAAAGTGCATCCATCCATCATAAAAGTAATCCATAAGACTGTATGGATTTAATAAAGGCCTTCTGAAGCAAAGCGATGGGTTTTTGTAAGAAAAATATCCATATTTTAAACTTTATCAACTAAAATAACTAGCTTCCGGCAGAATGCCAGCGCAAGTCGACTTACGCCAAAAGAGTAACCACTTATGCGATGTAGGAGTATCGTAAGCTCTTGCGGTTCAAACAAATAGGGTTGGTCAACAAACTCAAGCTCTTCTTCTCTTATCCTCCAACATTTCATACTCATTTTAGACTTCTAATTTGTGACTGGTGTTTTGTTTTGCTCTGTCCTCAATACGGTCAATACGTCATGCGTCAGGTCAGAGGTCACTCTTTCTCCATAAATTGATGTGTATACGGCCGTCTGTCGGAAGCTAGTTATTTTAGTTTATAAAGTTTAAAATATGGATATTTTTCTTACACAAATGCATCGCTTTGCTTCAGAAGGCCATTATTAACCCCTCCGGAGCCGTGTGGAGTACTTTTCTGATGGATGGATGGATGGATGGATGGATGCGCTTTTTTGGACTTCAAAATCAGGACACCCATTCACTGCCATTTTAAAGCTCGTAAGAGCAATGATATATTTATGACTCCGATTGTATTTGTCTGAAAGAAGAAAGTCATATACACCTAAGATGGCTTGAGGGTAAGTAAATCATGGGGTAATTTTAATTTTTGGGTGAACTATCCCTTTAAGTGAACATTGTAAAACATCTTTGTCTTAACTCTCCTTACTCGCAAGAAAGGATTGCTAGTCTACTAGTCTAAGGACACTTTCTGTAAGAAATGTAATTTGCAAATAAAAAGCACATTAAAATCCTCACTGTATTCACTGTTTTTATGTCATGTAAATTGTTATCAACAGCAAAGTCATTGTGAATATACTGTGAATATTCAATGGGTCAGCCCTAATGTAATCTGGATCAGTGTCATATCATGGGTTGCGAAAGCTAATGTCATAGTATGACATAATATCTTCAATTATAATAAATGGCATGGTTCTTTCTGCTCTTGATCCGTAAATGCCAGTGGAAATCAGTAGCTTCTTGGCTACTCTATGTGGGTGTGAGTCACTCACATGTATCTCCAGGCCTTTTGTGAAACTTGTGATTAATGTTGTTCTGGTACTGCCAACGTTTTCAAAGCTTTGTTCGGACGATTTCAGTGGACCATAACAAACATGCAAAC